GCTGCTGAGCTGCAGAGACGGTGGTTTGTCATTTGTGTTTCAGTGGTTGAAGAAATAACTTTGCAGCACCCCTGGGATACGACACTGATTTAAGGCAGTTTATCATCAAAATTCCACACCATCTTCACCCCTGCAGGAAGTTCTCCAATGTGCAATCTGGAATATTCAAGGATGTTTTTTGAATCAGTGGGAGGGAAGACTCTCAGGAAGAACACAGATGAAAGCAAGACCTCTTCCCTCCCCTCACCAGCACGGTTCTTTGAAACAAAAGCCCCGGGCTCTCAGGCTACTTTGAGGATCACAAGGGCTCCTGAGTAACTCAGAGATACAAGCAACTGGACTTCCCTGTGTTCCCAAGACCTGCTTTTAAAACCAAAGGGGCAACAAGAGAAATGATGTGACTAATAGAGACACTGGGCCTGGTAACCCTTCTTTAATTCTCATCCAATCACCATACCCTCTAGCTGATGGTCTTGGTAAATCATCCACCCTCTGTCAGACTCAGGTTCTTCATTTGTGAAATTGGCTAACACCATCCCTACGTGGATTGCAAACATTAAAGACAGCCTATGTAAAGTGATTAGTATAGAACTCGGGAAGAGTTCAATAAAGTTTAATTACTACTTGTTGCAGTTTCTGTCAAGTCCATTTCAACCCATGGCATTCTCATGTGTGGTGAGGAGACTTCCCTGTCATCTTTTGGAAACAGACGGCCAGGTCTGTCTTCTGGTGGCCTGGAACTGCCAACCTTTCAACTAGTAAGCGAGTGTTTAACCGTTGACACTACCCAATTCTGCTCTGTTTTCTCCTTTATGTAATACCAAATGCTACCTTTACAAGCTCTTTCCCTACCCCATTTCCCTTGTCTGCATTCAGTACTGGCCTGCTAACCACAAGGTTGGCAGTTCGAGTCCACCAGCTGCTCCTTGGTAGAAAGATGAGGCTTTCTGTTGCTGTAGAGATTTACAGCCCCATAAACTCTATACAGAGTTGCCATGAGTTAAAATCGACTCAAAGGTACTCAGCAACAATACTATTTTGGATGCAGCCCTGATGGCTTGTAGGATAAGCACTGGACTGGGAACCACAAGGTTGGCAGCTTAAATCCGCTAGGTTTTCTGCTCCCATAAACATTTACATCCTCAGAAACCCTTTATAGGTTGACTATGAGTTGGAACCAGCTCAACAACATATAACAACAACAACACACTTTGTGAAAATTCTATCTGCTGGCATTTTTTAAAAATTTCCATATATCTTCCCTCCCACTAGATCAAAAGTTTCTCAAAGCAAGGTAGGGATGGGTTGGGAAAGGGGCTGGTTGTAGGTTATCTGCCTGAATCTTGTAGAGCACCGGACCCTGCTATTGATGGTCTACACTTAAGCATTGTCCTCCATAACCTCCATGCCTAGATATTGAGAAAGGAAAAGAAATCATGCACCTTGTCCTTAAAGCCACTGATAGTTCACCAAAGGTACCACAAACCACAAGATATTTCTCTAGATTGCATGCATGTATTCTCTGCTCTGAGTCTCCCTAAGTCTGCAATGCCCTTCCAACTTTGCTCATGAAACACGTGCATGCTAAGCTGGTCTTGTCAACTAATCCAAGAGGAGTGTTTGTGTTTTTGAACAGTTATAATAAAGGAGGGTAAAGGGAAGGGTTATAATAGCTGGCTAACCACTGTATTACTCGTGGAATCAGGAATATGTTTGTACTGACAGCGCAGAATCTATGAAAAATCCAAACAGTGGTTGTGGATTAGCTGCTCAGTTCCTTACAGCCAGAGAGATGAATACAAAGGCAGAACAAGCTGTGCACCACAGCCACAGCATCCGACACAGGCTAAAGCAGGGCACATGCACTTCAGAGATGCATTTAACTCTGCCAGGTAGCTGGCCGAAACACTCCCTATTTTCTTCTACACATGAACACAGAATTGAAAGAAAGAAGAAAGCTATTTTTCATCCAATATTCTTTGCATGCCTCCCAGAGTTTTCTCTTTTGTAGTGATGGGAATAGTCATGATATGAACCTTAAAAATGGCAAAGTCAGTGGCAGGGTACAATATACATGAAATACAACTTTGTAGTCTCAAACATTCTTAAGGAGTAACGTGAGATTTGGGGACGTAAAATGCACATGCACCGCAATAAGGAGAGTCAGTCCTGTAAATACCAACTAAAGTGTCATAATAAATGTCTCTGTTTTGATCAAATATTACACATTTGTCTCAAAAAAAGAAAAGATAATTCAGCAAACACGCTCTTTGCAGCCCTCTAGTGGATGGAAGTGTCATGAGGGAGTAGGAGGGATTAAACACCTCCCATTCTGCAGGGTCAGTAAACTTTTCACAAAGAAAGACAAACGACTTGTTTTAAGCACAAATGGACGTGTTCTAAGCAGCAGAAATGAAGCATGTTGGTTAAAAGGAACATGAAGTCTGTTTTTTGGTGTGTGTTTAATTGTCTTTTCTATTTTACTTCTATCTTTGCAAAGCTTTCATCCGGACATGAGAGCTCAGTTAAGGAACACTAAGATAAAACAAAAGACACCGGGGTACTCTTCACAAACAATTTCTTTCAGGTCTTCTCTTGCTGTGACCCCCTTGTGTGTAGTCATCTGTTTAGAAATGTCCCATTTGCTTCACTACGTACAGGGTGATGAGAAACCTTCAAAATCATGTGATTTCCCTGCTTAATGAAGTGTGTATTTTGGTAAAAGAAGGGCAAAAGGTTTGAAAGTTCATTGTGCTTTATTCTTGTTTTCACCCAGACAACAGTCGCTCTTGAATGATCCTTTCCTTATCAGTGAATCCTTACCACAGTATGCTTGAGACATTTTCATAATGAGTTTTTCTTTGTCTTCCTAAAAAAGAAATTGTCTCTCAAAAATATGGGGGGAAGGGAAATTGCTAAAATAAAATAGGATCTCTGCTTGTAAGATAGTTTCAAAAACAAGTCACCCAACACACCAAAAATTACTGGAGAAACAGAAACCCTCCTATTATTTTCACATTTATCAATCTCATCTTGCTGGAGAAACAGTTCTCAAGAACCCAGACAAGGTGAACTGTCTGCCTCTCCCTCTCCCCACCTACCAAGAGAAATGATTACCTGATACACCTTTCCCCTTCCGGAGCCACTGGTAAGCTATAGTTCAAAGTCAGCTTCCAAGTTGGGTTGGCTCTAACTAGCAGCCTCTTTTCTGACAGCCGCAGACACCTCCGCCTTCTGATGCCCGCCAGGCGAGATTTCAGTGACCACTGCTAGATGACCATCAAGTGCCCTTCGCATTGTCACCTGGCAGTTTCGCCACAACCCTCAAACCAAGCTCACACTCGCTGTGTGCACAGCGAGGAGAATCAACAAGTTATCCCTAAACTGGGCGTTCCAGCCAGGATCCACCACTGCCTTCCTTGCATCCACACCCGCTCCCCAATACTCTCTTGCCCCTGCCTCAAGCACGTGACCTTTTGTTTCAGACCCTTCCCCCTCCCAACGCTCCCCCCACCCCCAACCCCTAGCGCTCCTCCCTCGCCTTCTAAAGCAACTGCGAAAGTCCAGGGCTCGCCAGCCCCCAGGCTCCTCTGACAAAGCCAGGCGTTCAATAGAATCTTGCTTCTTTGGAGCAAGAGTAGGAACGTCAAGATCTTCAAATATATGGAGGGGCGTGGAAGGGCGCCAGACCAGGTTCCGTCGTTCGACCCGCGGATGCCTGAGTTTAGGAAGACTGAGCTTCGGAAGACTGAGCTTAGTCGGAGAGGCTGCTGAGGGCTTCACATCCCGCACTTCTTCTGGACCCCGCGATTAACAGAGCAGGTGTGCATTCCCAGGGGAACTGCTCTGGGAGAGCCTGCGCGGTGTCAGGGGGCGCTTCTCTGAAGCCTACAAGTTTCCATCCCACCCTGGAGCAAGAATATCAGTCACCCTTGGACTCCCTCCTTTAAAGGCACCACTGCTAATTACTACCCCAGGGGCAGGGGCTGGAGTAGACACCTACGTGTCTCTCCGCCCTGTGCCAGCGTCTGACCAAGCCTTCCCCGGGCCGGACCTCAAGACTCACCCACTATTCTCCCATCTGGGCACAGACAGACCTCAAAGTTGACCAGACTCCCCGCCCCTCCCCCCTTCTTTCCAGCTCCAGCCCCCCCACCCAGGGATAGAGCCGGCGCCCAAGGACGGAACCTATTCGGTCCAGGGCGTAGGGTCTCACTTCGGGAATGCCAGGTACACAGAGAGCGGAGGAGCTGCTACAAGGGAGATGGACATGCCCAGCGTGAGTCAGGGTCCTAGCCGCTTGCCCCTTAAGTCTGCCTTGCCTCCTTCCTCAGGGAGGAGGAAACTTCCCCAGCACCCACCTTTAGCCGCGAGGAGGCGGCGCCGCCGGCCTTCCGCCCGGCTGCCGCCGCCGCCGCCGTCAACCAGCCGCAGCTGCAGCTGCCTCTTGCTGCCCACGCTGGCCCTTGTCTCCCGGTGTGTGCCACGCCTGGGACCGCTTCGCAGTGCCTGCCCGCTGCGCTTCAGCTTCAGCCGCCGCCGCCGCCGCCGCTGCTGCGCTTGGCTTCCGGTGCCCGCCGCCTCTGGATGGCTCGCCGGTAGCACCGCGCTCACTGGCTGGGACCCCAAGCGACTCGGGCGCTCACCCCGGGACGGCCCGTGACGTCACGGAGGGAGGGAGGTGGCTCGTACATATTCATGAGACGCGGACACAGTCTCCCCGCCCCGTGGCCCCGGCCCCCAACTTTTCTCTGGTTTCAATGCTCTCTGATGTTCCAGGGTCTTCCTGTTCCTGTGAAGACCTGACTCTCAGAGGACCCTGGGGGGCGGCTCCAGGAGCCCTCCTGTACTCTAAACAGATGCCACAGGGGGTGGCGGGCTCACCCAAACAGTGGTCACCTGGGGCTTGGCCATCAACTGAGGAGGCGCAGGGGGGCCTAGGCGTGCCACGCCCTTGGAGCTGGCGTCTGAGAAGAGGAGGTGGAAGGGTGTCCGCCGCCATGGGTCCTGCCCTTGGCCAGGTCTCTGGACGCTCTATGCCTCCTAGTCTGGGGAGGGCGCCAGGCGCACACTAGTGCTCACAAGTGCTAGTGCTCCTTTGTAGGACTGGGTAGACAGCTGTGTACCTGGAGATCAATGGCTGGGCTCAGCACCTTTTCGAAGAAGGCAGGGACTGTCCATGTCTGCAGGGGGAACAGAAAAGGCAAACTTGGGTTTCCTGGCTGATGAGGCTGTAGAAGGAATCTTATGGTCACTTTAGCTTCCCTGACTTACTATGTCCATGCAAGAAGTTAACAACTTTATGTGGCCACTCCACATCTCTAAAACGAATCCACCTGATGTCATGCATTGTAAAATACCATGCCATTGAGTAATTGTCATCTTGTCATCTACTACCACACAAAGATCATAAAGGTATTCCATAAATATTAACTAGGGGTCAGAATAAATCCTTAACCACAACTGAATATAGGGTGTTGAATTGTAGAGTAAGCAAACCCTGTATAGAGTCAATGACATTTAACAAAAATATCACACAACATATTTAACAAAAATATTTAACAAAATATCACACAACATATCACACAAAAATATTTAACAAAAATATCTTATGGAATAAAGGATAGAGCTCTAGTAGCATAGTGGTTACAAATCGGGCTGCTAATCTCAAGATCAGCAGTTTGAAACTCTAGCGGTTCCACAGGAGAAAGATGAGGCTTTCCTGCTCCCATAAAGATTTACAGCCTCGGAAACTCTATACAGGGTTGCTGTGAGTTGGAACCAACTCCACAGCATATAACCACCAGAGAAATATAGTCATAAACAAATTACCCATTCATTCATTCAACACATTTACTGAACACCTAGACATGGTGCTCAACCTGCTACTCTGCGCTTGAGATGCAAAGACATAGGAGAGCTGTTAGTCCCCTCCTCAACACCTTTGTTCCCTGCCTGAGAAGCAAAAGAGGGCAGTAAAAGGCAATTACAATCCCTTCTAAGCATTATGGTCTTGCACATTCTTTATGTCACTAGAAATGAGCGTACACAAATCAATTAACAAAATGTATATATTGCAACAGTGTCTAAACAGCATCCTATAATTAATAACTGTAGTTTGGGGTACTCAACAGAGCCATAAAATCCATTAACAATCCTCATGCTGCTCAGTCTCCCTGAGCCACTCTGGCAGCTCACCCAGAGCCACTGCAGTTGTGAAAGCCAACACGTCTGCATTTCTAGATGCCAAGAGGTGCTTTAGGGGGCAGCTGTGAATCATGATGACTGCTCTGGGTTGGCACTTCACCTAGAGGTCTCCATTAGCGGCTGTAATACCATATGCTATTTTACTTATTTCACAGATGAGGACATGGACACATAGGCTAGAGGAAGTTAAGTACCTTCCTTGCCCAAGGTCACAGAGCTCATAAGCACCTCAGGCCAACAAAAGAATCTTGCCTTTTACAAGTTAGCCATGACTTACCTTGTTTTCAGGGCCTAGATATGATGACAAGGGGAGGGCAGGGATGGGAGTAGGATGAGGAGGATGCCTGATGCAGGCAAAATCAGGGGAAAGGTAAATTTATCTCATATTCTTCCATTTACACCCCATCCAATTACATATCTGCTACCCCCATTGCCTCTAAGAAACCTACCTTACTGGATTTGCATTGTCCCTTATTGGCACTCTGCTGGATGTTGTTAAAGATTAAGTGGTTGGTCTCCAAAATTTTTGGTACACCAAAAATGAGGAAGAAAGGGGGAAATAGAGGTATTGAAAAGCACCTCTAACTAGTTGTTGTTAAGTACCATCAACTCCAATTTCGACTCTTAGAGACCCTGTACAGAGTTTCCAAAAGGAGCTCTGGTAGCGTAGTGCATACGAATCAGGCTGCTAACCTCAATGTCGGCAGTTCGAAACTACCAGCTGTTCCACGGGAGAAAGAGAAGGCTTTCTGCTCCTGTAAAGATTTCCAGCCTCGGAAACCCTGTGCAGGGTCGCTATGAGTCGGAACCGACTCCAACAACATAGGGTTTCCAAGGAACAACTCATGGATTTGAACTGCCGATCTTGTGGTTCACAGTCTAGTGCAGATCCTACAGCCCCACACCAGAAATCCCAGATCCCAGTAAAGAACCCAGCAGAGAGAGACACCAGGGGGCAGGCCAAAGTCCAAGCAATGCAACATCGTTAGCCTCCATCTCCTCCTCAATGAATGGGATTCATAATAATGGTTACTGTAAACCCTGTACAGGGTTGCTATAAGTCGGAACTGACTCCATGGCACATATCACACACACACACACACACACACACGGTATATAGACAGAAACGGCTGCAAGCGTACATTAACAGAGAACTTCCAGAGGTTCAAGCCAGATTCAGAAGAGGCTGTGGAACGAGGGACATCATTGCTGATGTCTGATGGCTCTTGGCTGAAAGCAGAGAATATCAGAAAGATGTTTACCTGTGCTTATTGATTATGCAAAAGCTTTCAATTGTGTGGATCATGACAAGCTATGGACAATATTGCGAAGTATGAGTATTCTGGAACACTTAATTGTGCTCATGAGGAATTTGTACATGGACCAAGAGGCATTTTTTCTAATAGAACATGGGAACACAGAATGATTTAAAAAATTAAGAAAGGTGTGTGATAAGGTTGTATTCTTTCACCATACTTACTCAACCTGTATGCTGAGCAAATAATCCAAGAAGCTGGGTTCTATGAAGAAAAACATGGCATCAGAATTGGAGGAAGACTCATTAACAACCTGGGATATGCAGATGATACAAACTTGCTTAATGAAAGTGAACAGAACTTAAAATATTTACTGATGAAGATCAAAGACCACAGCCCTTGGTATGGATTGCATCTCAGTGTGAAGAAAACAAAAATTCTCACCAATGGACCAATAAACAACAATCTTATTAATGGAGAAAAGATTGAAGTTGTCAAGGACTTCATTCTTCTTGGATCAACTATCAACACTCACAGAAGCTGCAGTCAAGAAATCAAATGCCGTATTGCATTAGGCAAATCTGCTGCACAAGACCTTTTTAAAGTGTTGAAGAACAAGGATGTCAGCTTGAGGACTAAGGTGCGCCTGACCCAACCCATGGTATTTTCAGTAACCTCATATGCATGTAAAAGCTGGACAGTAAATAAGGAAGACCATAGAAGAATTGATGCTTTTGAGTTATGGTGTTGGAGGGGAATATTGAAAGTGCCATGGGCTGCCAAAAGAACAAACAGATCTGTGTTGGAAAAGGGCAGTCAGAGTGTTCCTTGAAGGCCAGGATGGCCACATTTCATCTCTCATACTTTGGACATACTGTCAGGAGGGACTAGTCACTGGAGAACGATGTCATGTTAGGTAAAGTGGAAGGTCACCCACAGACACATGTGCAAGCCCAGACAAAGTCAGCCAAGCCTGGCCCAAATCCAGTGTCAGATTATCCAATAGGCAAAGTAAGCATGGGCTTACTTGTGCTAATTTACTAATCTGTAGTGAACAATTTCACATTTCTTCACTACATCAAAGATTCTGCTTCAAGATATGGTTGATTTCTGTCTCTCTCCGAACGCCACAGGCCCTTTCTCCAGAATCAAAACTTTTTATTGAATTAACAATTCCTGACAGCATGGATTTACTTGTGCTTGTTTACTAATCTGTAGTGAACAATTTCTCATGCCCTTCACATGTTCAATAAATGTAAAAATGCCTTCCTCTTATCTCTACTTCCTAAGTCTCTAAAATGCCAGTCATAATCCTGATTTTGCTCATTTGCGAAAATGTGCTAACAATTTTAGAGAGGGTGAAGTTGATCAAATTCAGCCGTGGAAATACTCAGTCCATACTATTTGTATTGAGCATTACTGTGTTCTTTGCCTATGCTGGGCCATTGTAGATACAAAAAGTGGGCAAAGCAACCCAGCTACTAATGGGTAACTTGGTACCAGAGTTATCCATTCCAAACCTTCTTTAACCATCTAGTAAGTGTTGTTGTCTCTGTCTTATGAAGGCCAAATAAGTGGCTCAGAAGTTTAAATAATGTGTCCACATTTACAACAAAGAATTTGAACCTGTTGTTGTCAGGTGCCATTGAGTCTGCTCTGATTCATAGTGACCCTATGCACAACAGAAGGAAATACTGCCTGGTCCTCCTACATCTTCACAATTGTTTTTACTCTTGTGCCCATTGCTGCTGCTACTGAGCCACTCCATCTTGTTGTGTGTGTGTGGGGGGGGGGGTCTTCCTCTTTTTTGCTGGCCTTCTACTTACCTAGCATTATGCCCTTCTCCAGGGACTGGTCCCTTCTGATAGATAACATGTCTAAAGTATGAGAGACTAAGTCTTACCAACCTGACTTTTCTAAGGAGCATTCTGACTATACTTCTTCCAACGCAGATGTTTTTGTTCTTCTGGCAGTCCACGATATTTTTAATATTCTGCTTTAACACCATAACTCAAATTTTAATTTATGCTTGTTTAATTTCACAGTCCACCTTTCTCCCACATATCATGGTATTGGGAGAGGCATATAGGATTAAAATGTGGCAAAGTTGAAAAGTAAATTTCAAATCAGCCAGGCTAGCTCTGGAGATTTGAAGTTCTCATTTTTTAAAATCCATCATCTCCTCTGGATAATGACCATGTATCTAACCAATTGCCACTAAGGTAGTGATCCAAATCTCTGATTTTGTTGAGGCTGCACCTCTCATTCTTGGCTCCCCATTGTGACATAGTCTTTTAAAGAACATGGTCAAAAAATAATGAACAAGATGATGTAAGACCTTTGTAAATTTAAACACCAAGTCCTGGGCCCCACCTGGTAATGCAAGAATGAATCTCAGGCATTTATCTGTGCCAACAGTTTTTAATAAACAAATAACTCTCCAGTTCCAGAGAAGAGAATCTAACAGGAGCTTTCCTCACATAAACACAGTCATTCCACTCATTTTCACCAGGGTCCTTAATGTCTTATCTAATGAAGCACCAAAACACAGCCCTTAA